AGCTCCTGGAAGGCACAGGGCAGAACCAGCTCTTTTTCATAACACAATGTTAAATGAACACTGGTTTTTAACTATTATTTATTGAACAATTGAATAGAGCAAAAGACATAAGTATAAATTAAGTTAAAAGAAGAGGAAAGTGTGAAAGAGAAGAGTCTAAGATATTACTAAGAAGATAAACTAAGAAGCAGGAGAATATGAAAAGAAAAATAAGATGGGAATAATTAGTTATGAGAAGGTGGAATAAAAGAGGTCAGAGGATGAGAAGAGACAAAAGAAAAACAGGGGTAGAAGAATTAATAAAAGAGAAGACAAGGGCAAACTTGAATATATAAGTTGCTTTTTTATTATCTTAAAGAATAAAGAAGAGATTCTGGAAGTACCAAAATTAGCATACATGCAGAACTGAAATGCTAATATAATTAGATGCAGGGATGGTGTAGACCTGTGACACATGGTGCAGCAACTCTGGAATGACCCAGAAGCTTATCCGAAATGCAGACCTAGCAAATCAGAATGTGCATTTTCACAACATCTCCAGGCAACTCCTCTACATAGCAAAGTTGGAGAGGCACTAAGGTGACACTTGAAATCCACAGAAATAGCCACATCTCCTCCCAATCAAAGGTATATTGCACAAAGCATTTGCACTAAGGAGCTACACAACTTTAGGCAAGTCACTTCCTATTCCTGGATCTCAGTTTCTTCATCTATTAAATGAGAAGGTCAGAGTGGATGCCTTCTCAAGTGTCACAGACCTGGACATCCTTAATCTTGTCTTACTGCATAACTTCAACCGTTCCTGTACTGACCAGACCAGACAACAAATAGCATCACTGACAAATGAATATTGTACTTTCTCTCTCTGTTCTTTCATTAGATATTCTCTGAATACTTATTATGTACTGGTCTCTATGCTAATACAAGTTACTATGCTAGACACAAATGTTTCCAAGTCGAATAAAATACCTCTCCCTGCCCTTGAGGTACTCACCAACTTCTTAGAAAAAGAAACAGGGCATATACACAGAATAAGGGGAAAGTATATTAAGAAGTATGAACTCTCACTGGTAAAACACAAAAGGCAAAAGAATCACACTGCGTAAGGAAGTATGGAGAATTTCAGCAAGGAGACAGACAACATATCCACCAGGTTTATTCTCTGCCACCCTCAGCTGATAGTGCTAAAAAGTGAAAAGCTGAAAATAAGAACATCAAGAAAATCACCGAAGATTCCTAAACACACCTCTCTGATCCACACACCACCAAAGTTCATGCATCCAGTGGATTTTGTACAATGGCCACAGACAGACAATAGCCATAGCTGGACCTCAGAAACCCACCTCCACTGGTTATGTGTGCTCCCTCTACCGACTATATTCTGTTCTTCCACCTTCTGCCTCCTTCTGGAAGATAATATCAATTCAACCGCTAATCTACTGTCCCTAGAGACTTCTTCTTGTGGTTGCAAACAGGAGATGCACATTAATAAATGTGAACAATTCATTAAACCATTGATCTATATTTATTTACAGAGAAAGACTATACTAATACCCAATAGTGTGCACAGTAACAGAGACTGAAAATGGAGTTGACTGAAAAGAAGAACTTTCTAGAATTCATATGGAAGATGTAGAAAGGCACTGCCAAAAAAAAGAAAAAAGAAAGAAAGAAAAGCTTAACTCTTCCAGCTTATCAAAATACTGGAGATGTTTTGTCAGCCTCAGTCTTTGTTATTAAAAGAGAGAAAGCAACCACTCAGACCAACCATGCCCAATGTCAAGGTCACAATGTTGAGGTCATTCTGGCTTCCTTCTCTTCTCTGGCTGATTTGAGGCTACAGTTTCTTCACCTACAACTTGTCATTTCTCCTGCCTCCTTCTTTATTTCATAGACTATATAAACTAAATGCATTAGCCTATTAATACTGGTAGATAGGACATCTTCATCTGAGTCTTGAACAAGAGTAGGAAAAAAAAAATCTTGCCCCTAGTTTCATCATAGTCATAGAGGAACTGGAAGACTGTTTTACAAGATAATGATGTGCCAAGGGCTAGATTCACTCATTCCTCTTTCTCCCTATCAAGCACCACTAACTCCACCAACCAATTTCAGTCCCTGTGTCTGCCTTCCACTGTTCTGCCAACACAAGACTGGGTGCTCAGAGGTGAGGTCAAGAAGACAGTCAAGTTTCTGAAGCCATCTTTCTGGAAGTAAAGCAGGAACCCAGGCAAGGTTCCTGTTGTTCATTCCCCCTCCAGAAGAGATCGCTCTTCTCAACCAGTCTTTAAAAAAAAAAAAAAAAAAAGAAACAAAAAAAGGACCTAGCATGCAATGTAGCGACTAGGGGGAATTTTCTTTTTCTCCTCCTTTCCCATCATTTTTCCTCCTTAATTATGCTTTTTGGCTGCATCCACCCTAACAAAAATCACATACACCCAGGAGCAAAGCGAGATTCTGCAGACAGACAAGCCTTTTAGAGCTGGAACCAAAGGGTGAGAAAAATTAGACAACTCAGTAGCACACCCTGCTTCCTGCATGTTAGCTTCTGGCATCTCGCTCTGTGTTCCCAGATCCACCATACTTCAGCACACCTGGAACAGAGACATAGAACCACATGTGGCTCTGCTTCCCCTAAAACCACATTTCCTATTAATATTTGTCTTAATTACCAGAGAAGCTCCTCGGTTGCAATTAAATATGCTCTTCCTCCCACCAGCAACCACATTGCTTTCCCATGGAAGGCACACTGCAAGGAGGATTGGCAGACAGACGAACAGAAGACAAAAGAGTGCTGTGAGTGGAAAAGAGGGAAAGACCAACGGCCCAGAGATGACCCAGAACACCACTGAGTCACAGCCTCCTGGGCATCTATCTGCCTCCCAACCAGGGTCTCTAAAGTGGTACAGCACACCTGTGGCAATTTCTCCTTGAATCCCAACAAGTCCTTTTTGGACTACCTCTCCTTTCTCTTTGTAGCTTTCTCACCCCCTTTACCCTCTCTGTCAGCATCCTTCCCTTCAAGCCTCTCTTCCTTTGTGAGTCTTTGGGCCAACTACTGATAGCCTGGAATTGGGCTTACTCCCATTGGCATTCAAGATGAATGAGGTGGCTGAGACCCTGTCAAAGGCCTCCTCATTGACCTCATCACCGGCAAACATTCCCAAGGGCCTACTTTGTGCAAAACAGTGTCATAAGCAACAGGGTTTCAAAAGGGACCATGTGCCCTGTTGATACCCACTTCTCTTTGTCCATCTATACACATGAAGTTGTTGCACACGGAGCTGCCATTCCCACCCATACCTCTGTTCTATATTAAAGTAATATTAAGAGTTCATTCTCCACTTGAGGGAGTAGAAGCAGATGAAGAACCAGCTCAGGTGTCTCTAAGGTAAGCGCACACTGGATAACCTCAGCTATTTGTAGACATGGTGAGAACCTGGTTCAAACTGGGATCCCGCCCTCTTGCTCTTATTACACCATGGCTACAGATGACTGTTTCAGCAATAAAAACTCAAAAGAATGAAACCTAGGGGAGAGGAATGGTGAATTTGAATTACATCCATCCTTTCTGGACAATAAAGAACTATCATCCACTATCTTGTTGAGTGATGAAGACCTTCCACTACTCCCCTCACCCATTTTTTGGACTGTTTCAAAGGACTGCTGTAAAAATTGCCAGAAGAAAGATCTGGGGGGAGGGGATACTTTGAGGAACACTATTGATGCTAATGACTGTGCTACATAGTTTCTGAAGACCTTTATGCCATCCTAATTCCTGCATTTTGATGCCTTTAAAGTTTGGAGATGAATGGTCAGTAGAGCAAGGAAAAGGGAAGCCCACCCATCATCATGGCCCTCCAGCACAGCACAATCTGATTTTTCTCAGGAGTTGTGGTGAATTGCCCAAGTGACTAGCAGAGCAGTCGTTAGCTAAGTCTTTTCCATTTCTCCTGCTATTTCTGTTTTCAAGTACACTAAAATGCTGCCTAACCACATTTCACATACTATAAAAAATGGACGAGAGGGAAAAAATTAAAGCATGAATTCTGTTTTTGAGGGTACAAGACGAACACATGCAAATAGCACATCTCTTTGTTTAACACAAAGACTCACGTGTCAAATTCTGCACCCCTTCCTCATGCACAGCCTTTTAGAACTCTGCAAGATAGCCATTTTGCAAGAATGTGGAAGTAACAGTTTGCTTGGAGGATGTGTGGGTATAAATAGATGGGTAGACAGAAGGAGAAATTTACAGCTCAAAAATAATAGCATACCAAGAAAAATACAAATTAAATGCAGAATATTGACAGAATTCCATCTTCCCAGGCTCCAGATTTAAGTCCTCAACCTGCAGCATCCTTCTAGTCCAGGTGTTCTCAGACCAGCCTGCTTCCTCCCTCCAGACCTGCCCCTCTGCAATAGGCCTCCCGGGATCTCCGGGCCCAGTGTCAACCCTTCAAACAGCCAGTGGATTTCAGGACAACAACCACAGTAATTCCAATCACTATTTTTATTTTTCAAAGGGCATAGAAAGGATGCCTAGAAAGGTAGAGGCAAAAGATAGAGAGGCAAGCATGAAGGTGGCAAGGAGGAAAGCTACACCACAAAAAAAAAAAAAATCAAGATTCCCATAAAAATCATAGCTTTGAAGAAAATGTTATTTAACTAGAAAATCACACAGGTCTCCTGGCTGGCTGTGTCTGCATACATGCATATGCCCCCCATCCCCAGCATCTTCTGTGCCCACATTCACCCACCCCCACCACCCCAAAAATAAAGCCCAAAACCTGTTAGATGAAAAAAGGAAAAGAAAGGACATGGGGGATTTCCCTCTTTTGTACAACAGCATTATTTTTGATATCTGGTTATCTTTTCTTCCAAAAAGACCCACTTGAGGGACAGGAAAAGACAGATTTAAAAAAAATGTTTTTAAATAAAATAAAGCAAGGAATCCCTACCCCAGGTGAGGGGAAAAAATACAATAGAAATCTCCCTACCTTGGTTTGTAGAAGCCAAACCTCTAGACCGACAGATTAAGGGTGTAAGCATGATGGGAATGTACTCTCTCCTCCTCTCGCTTGCATATCCACATAAGAAAGACGAAGGATAAATGAACGGAAGATAATTTAAAATCCAATTTAGCGTAAATTTTGTTTGGATCTTGTGTCTTGAAGAGATGCAAATTCAAAGAAAAAAGGATTTCATTCAGAGGAAATTCAGTGTATGAAGAGCTGCTCACAATGCCGGATCCAGAGTAATTATTCCGATTGCATGTGAGGTGAGTGGCTGGAATCTATTTTTAAGGATTCTTCTGGCAATTATGGATTTTGATTTTTGGAGCTTTAGTGGAGGAGGCTCTGTGTGGAGAAGCTGGGGGCCGGCTCCGTCCCTCCGTGGAGCATGGTCATTCCCAAAGCGTCCCCTTCCTAAGGGGGGAAAAAGAGGCGGTCAGGGTTTGATCCAGTGTCCCCCGGAGGGTGAGAAAAATGCATTCCGAAAAAGATATCAAGTCGTTATAAGGAAAGGGGGGAGGAAAGCTCTCATTTCCCACAGAGTGCACACGAGAGGAATTGCAAACAGCTGGCACCGGTCTATAAATAATTCAGAAAAGGTCTGGCTATACCATTCCTGGGACAGGCATGGATGAGAGGTGGGAAAGCCAACCTGAATGGAAGAGGAGAGAGGGAGGGACCGAGAGAAGGAGGCAAGTGGGGAGGCAGGAGGAAGAGAGGCAGAAGAGGCACCCTCCAGCCCCACGCAGTCACACACACGCGCAGAAACACAATCCTCACTTAACTCGCCAGCAAGTGCGGCCCCCAGCCCCATCTGCAGTGCTGCTGACGTGTCTGTCTCGCTCTCCCCATCGCCTCCAGCAGCAGCGCCTCCTCCCACCCCGGGCTAGTGCTGAATGGGTTCTGATTGTGCAAGGGGTGCACACTGGGCATTTCTTGGAAGGGGCACACTGACACGCGCGCGCACGCGCCCCCGCGCGCACTCACACTCGCCCCCGCGCACTCACACTCGTCCCCGCGCACACTCACGCCGCCGCCGCGCCAATGTGCAGCACACTGTGCTGCACCTGCAACGTGTCCAGCGGATCGAGGGTCGCGGCGCGTGGCTCCCGCCCCGGGCACTGCTGCCCGGCCTCTCTGCTGGAATTGGGGATTAATCTCCACCCCCCTAAAAAAAAAAAAAAAAAGGACCAAAGACAGGCTACTACTTCACCCCCAAAATTTCTTTAAAAAAAAAAAAAGCCACATACAAATCAGCAAGTGCCAGGGTTCTGCTGGATTTAAGAGATTCACCCAATGCCAGGTTGGTTAACGGTTCCACCGCTTCGAACCCCAAATCCCAAAATCAAGACGAGAGACTCCGAAGCTTGTATTTACCTACCCGCTCCGAGCGCCTCCGCGATTGCAGTCTCGGGAGAGGGGTGGCCGATGGTGGGGGATCGAGGGGTTTCCTTTCCTACAAAGCAGGCTTAACGATCTGTCTCGGCGGGGTTTGAAGTTCACGACTCTTCTTTGCAGAGCAAAGGCAAATGCATTTGGACGCCAGCACTTCTGGCTTGGGGTGATCAGAGCCACCCTGACGAGCGCTTTCCATAGAGCAAAGCCCCGAGATTTCCTAGAGGTGAAGAAGCCGAAGGAAGTGGTTTTTGAAAGGGGGTGGGGGGGACCTTCCTTTCTCAAAAAAAAAAGGAGGGGGAGGTGGAGAGGCAGAAACCCAGATTCCAGTTGGCGGTGATGGAAGCCGGGGGAGGGGAAGCGGGCGGGGGCAGCCGGTGCAAGTCAACCGCACGGCCGCGGGAGAGGAAGAGGAGGGAGGAGGGGGAGAGTAAGGAAAACCGGTATTAATCACCCGCGACCGGGGGAAGGCGGGGACATCACAGGTTGCCTGGTCTGGATCTGGGTCTCACACCCAGAAACGTTCCACACACAGACACACACACACGCACACACCTACCTCGCACGCGGGCTCGGGTGGGAGGAGAAACCCACCAAGCTTAAGGAAGATGCTCGACTCCCCGGGTGTGCGCGCGCGCGCGTGTCCTCTTTCTCCACACCCCCCACCCCTCCCCACCCCCAGTCCCCGTCACCCCCTCACTCTTATTGCTAAGATTCTGGCAGAGGCCGCTTCCCACGTCAGGTGCTGGGGAAGTGGGGTAGGAAGGGGGAAAAGGCTTAACCCGAGTCCGTGGCGCCTCCTCCTGGTCGCAGAGGGGAACAGCAGCGAGGGAGGGCTGCTTAGGGGTGGGGGGAAGCAGGCTGTGCCCCCCTCCCCGGTGGGCGGCTGCGCTTGTCTGCGGAAAGCATCTCATAGGCCCAGCAGATAATTGACACGGAAGACCACCAGCCCCCTCCCTCCCAGCTTTATTTTCCATCCATCAATCTTCCCTAGTACAAGCATCCTGAGTGCTGGGCTCAAGTTTAAGGATGGGTCCTTGCCTTCAAGGAGCTTAAGATCTATTTTGAGCACACAAGCTAACAGGTAAAAAAGAAAAATAGAAAACAAAGCAAAGCAATCGTCTTTAAAGGATAATTTGTGTAAACAGGCTATATAGGCATTTTTCTGACTACTGGTGAAGAATTTTTTTGTTCAAATAGATTCTGTTTAAAGAGATTGAGAAAAAATGGTAAGACAAGTGAATGTTCCCCATATGAAACCATTTCATAGCATTTACAAAGCTCAGCCTTTCTTAGAAGGCAAATATCCGTGCATTTCTCTCTCTCAAACTGTTTTATAGTCTAATAGCACTTGTCACCAGTAGTATCGTTTGTTTCAATATTAATATTGTATGTGCATCATTTTATTCTCATTCACTGTCTTTTCAAAAATCCAGAATAATACATTGCTGCAGCATTTTCATCTTGGTTGTATCATGGGCTTCTCATCACCAGTCCTGAGTTGTATTCATACAAACACACAATGCTAAGTGAAGTGCTTATATGTAGTAACTGGGAACATTGGTCTATGTGGATGTGTGGATTTCCTGCAGACCAGACCAATGCTCATAACACATCTGCACAAATTCTTTCATGTTTCCTGGATTTTGTTATTCCAAGAATAATCTTGGGATCCAAGAGTTTTTAAGGCACACCCATGAAAACACAAACAGAATGTGTTCATGTGCAAACTATGTTTGCTCATTAATGGTATTGCTATTTTGCTAAGACACAAGTGGGTTGATTGTTCATCCCTTTGGAGAAAAGTGGAACCACCCCACAGTTGCTGTGCCTCTCCGTACACAACAGCCAACCCAAGCGCCTCTCTGTGCAGATTTCCAATGGTTGGTACACAGATTCTAGGAAGAGTCTAAGATGCAGAAAGCAAGGAATGGTGAATCTTCCCTGAAACGCTCTTCTCCAAGTCTTCCAGCAATGGCCATTAGTTTCAGAGTAAGATCCAAGTTCACTCAAGCACTGTAGTGGGTTGACTGTTAACCTACTTCTCTAAATTTTATTTTATCTTTTTTATCTCATAGCTCACCTTCCGCCTCCTATCTCTAATACCCTTCACTGAAATTCTAGACTATTTTATTTGTACTTCCTCCCTACCTGAACATAGGAATTCCATTACAGCCTTTTGCAAATGTAGACAGAAGAATGAACTCATATTCCTCTCTTTAATTTAGTTCACCTCTCTTTCAAGTTCCAGTTTGAGTCCCACCTCCTCTGGGCCTAATTTGTAGTCAACCAAGCCTGAGTTGAATTCTGAAACACTTTCAAGGACTTTAAAATGAAGGATGCCCCTCACTACGTTACACTCTGACTCCACTCTCTGCTTGTGGAAAGGAACAGAAGAGTTTGCTTGATCACTTGTCACAGTGATGGGCGACACTTCTTGCAGGTATCAGAAATGTTAAGCACACCAAATTGGACATTTGGTCCTGCACTATGAAGAACTAGCCCACCAAACGGAAAAGCAACGCCTTCATACCTCTTTACGCCTAACCGTGTGACACTATTGATAATTCAATCATGGGAAACTGCCAGTCCCATGAAAGAATCATTATTGACTTATAATTAAAAGGTAACTTAAAATTATATTCTTATGTATATTTCATGTCTTCTCAACTAGTTGTTTAGCTACTTAAGGAAAAGAGTCAATAAATATTAAGGCTTTTCTGATAACTATTTGAAGCCATTTTCCAAGCATTTTTTTCTGACTCTGGAATAGCTCATGCTGGAGAGCATATGCAGTGGAAAGTGGTACCCTTGGATGTTCATTGCCCATTGCCCATTCAATGGGACCCAGGACCGCCTTTCTTATCCTCCAACTCCCTGTCACTCACTTTTACACATCCCACGACTTTGCCTCCATGAACCACAAACCTTTCAATAAAACTATTTCAAGGACCCCCAAGATTCATAAAATTTGAAACACCATTTACCGATGTTGCAAATAATACATTTCCTAACTCCTAGTCAGGCAGCACAGAAAGCAATATTCTAACAGGACAAGATGTTGGATTATATTTCACAGCATTGTTTACTGAGAAAAAGTTCTTGCCTGAGGCTGCTAATGATACAGTTGGAGGTGTTCTGCCAGCTCACTTGACCCAAAGAGATGCAAACACTTGTCCATAGCCCAATCAACAGATGCAATACCCATGCCTTGCCCAGGAAAAAACATATATATATATATATGGCATTGGGCTGAGGCTTATACAATTTGGAGTGCCTCTTTAAGAGAAAGAATAAAAGAGATCTGCTTTAGGCCAGACACTGATGGCTCATGACCATAATCCTAGCTACTTGGGAGACAGATTGGGAGGATGGCGGTTGAAAGCCAACCTGGGCAGACAGTTCACAAGACTCCATCTCCAGAATATTCAGAACAAACTAGACTGAAGGTGTGGCTCAAGTGGTAGACCACCTGCCTTGCAATCTCAAAACCCTGAGTTCAAACCCCCGTCCCACCAAAAACAAAAATATAACAAATCTGTCAAAATGAATATTTCCTTAAAATGAAAATATCACAATTTAAAATTCTTGCTACGCAGAAATGTCACATAAATAACAATTTTTGCTAGTTAACTGTCTGATGTTTCTATAATACTTGTTTTTATAAATATGTTGCCCTTAACGCAGAGAAACTAAAGCAGATACCTTAAAAGCAACTGAGGCCAATAGGAAAAGGGGACCAGGAACTAGAGAAAAGGTTAGATCAAAAAGAATTAGCCTA